GTAACGCACATATTGATAGTTGTACCAATTATTATAAAATTACCTATATTATATGATGTAGATGGTACAAAGGGCAAGGAAATGAGAGTAATTTCAAATAAGGTTACACAAAAAGAAGGAACTAAACCTGTCATTATAAAATCTCGAGTCGTTTTAGTTTTTTTTTTCACTGTTGTACAATTATATGCAATTGACAAGGAATTCTAATTCATTGCTACATTAGTTTCTGTCTAGTGCTTTAATTAACTCTGGGAATTTTGGAATCGCCATCACTAGTGCACCTAAACCTTATTATATACATACGTTAATTCTGGTATTCAAGTACATATGCCAAATTTACTGAAAATATTTTACATAAGCTGTTTTTCCGGAAATATGGCCGCGCAAATTATAATCGACATATATCACACGCGTATTATGTGAAAGAAGATACAGTAGTTTTGAAATTTATTCAATGCAAATAAATCTTTCCTCTTTATAATATAAGTGTACATAAATAAATGTTTATACTTCAGATTTCTTGTTGTCAGCAGTGTAAGTTGGATTTGGCAACTTTTTATAAAATATTGACCGCATATTATATTACAATTTTAATGATTGATTATTTCTTATGGCTATTTCTTTAAACCCTGCTAAATAATAACGATATTAATTTCGTTTTCAATTATAGTTTAATATAAAATCATACATTTGTTTAAATAAACCTTTCTTATTACATTAAATCGGTGCCTCACTCGATCAAATGCTCAAGGCGAATCTTGAATGGTGTCGCGTGTGCGCTTACGCATGCCTTAAAGTTATTAATAACACCACGTAATAATAATTTTATTACACCACCGAGCAATATATTACGTAGGTTTAATTAACCATAGAAAAATAGTTGTGCGTTAGTGCTTGATTTTCCGTCGATCGTTTCCTTGACCGGCATGAAATCATCATAGTCGAGTTAATGAGTGTTTGCTCTCATATTGCCCTTCACCGATTGCTCTTCCCACGTCATTATGCAACGATAGGGCCCCGAGGCCATAAGTAGCTTTCAGGAGCCAGTAACGATACCCACTAATAATTAACTTTAGTTGGCATGGCCAATGATTATGATATCTAGTACTGGCGCTGCTGCGCTTAGCCTGTTAACTAATGTCAGCCCTTTAACGCCTTGATTTATGTTCCAGCCGCTAGGTTCGTTCACATCTTGTGAAGTATTCTTATAATCTCTCGTAGAACTCCAGCTCCGTTAATGCTGATGTCACATTAACGAGATAATAATTTATGACCACGCGAGGAAATTTAATTAGCCATCACCCATAAATGTTTCTAATAACATCTCATGTTACGAGCTAAAATTCTAATGACGCAAATTACCTATAACGCACATCAATAGAAATTCAGCCCTATGACATTCAGTAAAGACAAAGCTATGTAAGTAGCATGTGATGCTTCGGCCTAAAGAGCGATGCGATTAATACGATTTATTCCCATTGTAAAATATATTTTAGCACATAAGAAATAATCCACAAATGTTGGTTATATTGACCAAGCACAGATAGAAATAGTTCACGATACTACTTGTTACTTAGTATCGATACCATAATACATGGTATTAAAAAAAAGATATAGTAAGTACTTGTATTTACGCGTATCGTTTCATCCCTACGCAGTGCTTGTTATCCTCAAGCGGAGCTCATCCTCTGTCTACTATTGCTTTTCGATTTCTACATTCTGTAGATACTCCTAGGCCAGATGATACTTTGCCAAAATGCAAACGTGATAAAGACTAATTTCAAATATCATTTGTTGCCAGTGAGAGCATAGAAAGAATGTAGATAGCGCAGTCAGGCGTATAGGTAGAAGATAAATGCATTACTGCATACCCCGTCCCAACGCAGATCAGAGAGGTGGTTATATGGGGATCTCCTCTGCGTCTCCACCTCCGGAAAAGGGCCTAAATTGCTGAACCATCAAAACCTTCCGATGTCCCTCTTTATGGTAGACGATGCGCGGAAACAGCCCAAGGTATCTCTGCCACCAACGGTATCTTATTCCAATTCCAATAAATTCTGTCTATTTGTATTTCAATCAAAAGGGTGTCAATTTCTATTTGCATTGTCACATCACGCGTCAACTTCACGGTTCTATTTGGAAAATGTAATTAAGTAAGTATTAAGTCGACAATAAAAGCGTCCGCACGTGTGCAACTAAATGTCAATCGGTTTCGGTTTAATTCAATGGCGCAGTAGCGGTAGTCGGAATATTTAATACATTCACGTAGAACTATAATTTGACTTGATAATTTAAATTAAGTGACCTTCTTAAATATTGTCGTTATTTTTTGTCACTTATTTGCTAATTGGCTGTAGTCACTCCCACTACATTATTCTATAATATCGTAGAATAACTTGTTTTATTTTTTATACATTTCTTTTAGGAACTAAAGGTGGACTTAATGGCAAGGGCATTCTCTATAACAGGGACAAAGTATGGCGAGGCGAATTGTCGATACAAATTGTTTTTATTTAATCACTCGCCAACTATTATGATTATTGTAAATGTGCTGAATTATTCCCTCGCTTAAAAAGTATCTGATATTATTATAAATTTTTCCTATACGAAAGGGTTTCTAAAAAAACCAACAACAAATAGAAAAACCCGGACAAGTGTGAGTCTGACACGCGCACGTTGGGTTCCGTAAACCGGAAACGAGCAAAAAAGTCACGTTTGTTATATGGGAGTCCCATTAATTCTGGTTTTTATCTTGTGTTATTTGTTGTTGAAGCGGCAACATGAATACATTATCTGTGAAAATTTCAACTGTCTAGTTATAACGGTTCATGATAAACAGTCTAATGGCAGACAAACAGTGAAGTCTTAGTAATAGGTTCTCGTTTTACCCTTTAAGCACGGAACCCTAACGAGGTGAATTATAGGGGTGAAACTGTGCGTTTTTTTAAATTCTTTGACTGGAACAGAACCCAAATAAATTGTCTTATTTCTATTACAGCTCATTTGGACTTTGTTTCTTTATACAAAACTACGATGTACGTGCCCTTTTAACTGGAACTAAAAGGCACTCGTAGTTTAGATAAGAAATATCGTTATTATATTTGATCAATTTAGCATGCTAATCTTTTACATGCATTAATTATTTTTTATAACAAGTTAAACAAAAAAAAAAAAAATAGGAAATTCCTTGTTCTGTTATGTTTCCTTGAAGAGTTATGTTGATTTTCGATATTTTTATTTCATAATTTAAATTACAAATCAAAAATCTTAAAATTAATGGCGATATTGAGATTATTTTTATAAAAACGTTGTACACGACATTTCCATCATCTCTGATACAATAATAATCTATGTTTTTACAAATTAATTCTTAATATTTTCTTATGTACCTATAGCTAAACTGGTCTAGATAATTTGAAATTCTAAGTAAATCGCACTATACTTGAATAATGATAGTTCAAATATATGTGTGCACACGTATATTTACAGCTTAATTATTTTAAGTGCATATAATATGCTTGCTTGTATCCGTTATATTCTAATAAATTTTATGGCAAGGTCTGATTTGCAATCGTATCTACATAATCCACCAAACAATTAAATAAATTTGATTACGCTGGCAAAGTTGAAGACAAGGTCAGATAATGTTAATAATTCGATCGCCAATATTATTAAAAGTTATACGTTTCGCTAATTGGATTGCTGCTTTCATAGAATATTAGGTCCTACCTGATTCAAAAATAATGTTCTTAAATTTATGGTATCAAAACTTTGTTCTGTTTCCAATTTTGTTTGTTTTGAGAAGCTTTTAGCAGTACCGATATTGTAATCCACGATATTCTCTGAATTAATTATATCCAATTAGTTACTACCCGCTGCTTCTTCTGAGTGGAATTATTTAAAACAAACCTTTATAAAATTAGTCTACGTCACTTTCAGGCTTCCAAGTGTCTTTACATAGGATATCAACCAGTGGCACAGCGTCCTTTGGAAGGCCTTGTATCAAAATTTGTTGGAGGATCCAATGGAAGATATAAGTTTTTGCTTACATACGTTAGGGTCCCCTGTGCCCAGGGGCCCCGTATCATTTATATGGCCCATACGCCGGTAGCTATGCCTCTGATAACAACGCTACTATATAACGTGAAAGATGCAAAAGCAAACTCTCTTTCCTACTGATAAAATAAGGATAGATATCATTCGATAGCACTAGATATAAATAATATGCTATAATATAATCCAGGATCTTCCCTACATTAAATCAAATGTCATCTGAATCATGTTTAAAAAAAGGTGAACACGCATCTATGCTTTGACAACTCAACTAGTAAGTAGGTAATATAATTTTGTTAGTTTGAGATTTCTAACTTAATCTATTTAATTTACTGAAGATTTTACCAGAGAGCTTTCGAGTTTGCGGAGCGGTAGAACGTTTGATGAGGTTTTGGCATACGTCCTCCTTGCATTGGCCTATCGGATGAGTTTATTGCTGGTTGCGTACGTTTTATTGCTGCTCAGCTCTATATACCTAATTACCATCCTACAAGTCTAGATTCATACAATTTCCGTAGCAAAAACCATAAACGTTAATTAGAAAATATTGAGATCTCATTATTTTAATTTTGCGGCATTGTTTCAGTTTTTTTAAAATTTTCAATTAAAATTTGTATTTCCGATACTTTTAAATTTTCTATTAGAATTTGGTTTAAGTGAAATTCTTTATTTACATTCTTTGAACTAACCTTTCTTTAATTCTTAAATTATAATTATTATTTATTATTACCTTCATCCTAATTTATTTCCATATTCAATATGATCATAACAATTTTGCAATTTATAATTCTTCTGTTATGATAATAGCTATCTAATAGTTTTGATTTACAATGTCATAGTTCTAAATATTTCCGTTAATATTAGCAAGAAGGATAATTGTTCTCTATCAAAACATGCGATAGTAGTGTGATAAGCAGATAAAATATTGCACAGATCGCTCTACCTACCGCGTAGGGATGTACCAACGATGCGTAGACGCTATTATTGGACCCTGGTTAATGTCACCGTCACTGAATTTTCACAAAGTGTCATTTCACACTGATATCCAACTACATAGATTATTTTGAACACGCGTGGTACGCACGAGGTAGTCTCCGACTCTGTGCGTAAAACAGACCCGTCCGCCGCAGCATCCGCAACGGCTCTGGCTGCGCTGCGATAGCGGCGCGTGTGCTGCGCACCGGGAGCCACGCCCCGTGCGTACGCGCACCTCCCCGCGCATATTCTCCTCTGAAGCCTTTCATTTTATATTTTCAGCTATTTTCCACGCTTACGTTATTTTAACTACTTACGATTTCACTTGCGTTATTGTTTGTTATAAGAAAACGCTCATATAAATTATGCAATTGCATTAATTAAAAATACATTATTATTTTCCTTCTTTGGTAGTTTCTGAATGTCACACATAGGTACTTGTATCATGTAGATTAGAGTTATACCATACCATAGTATAATATACACAGCTCTTTTCATTAGTTGCGTGAGAAAGTTTACTCTCCAAGCTCGTAAATCGTGTATTGAATGTTACTAAATGAATCCCTTGATTAAATGTTAATTAAAAAAGAAGATATTCTTTGTAATGTTTATATGGTAAAATATGTCACTATGCATATGCCATGTAATCGTCGCGGATAGGTACTTGTATGCTGGTTGCATCATATCGTAAAAGTCTAAAGATCGTCGATCACGGTAATCAATATTTGTTCTGTCTGTGGTTACTTTCAGTCACATTCTACTTACCTAATCCTCTCTATTAAATTATATTAACAGTCAAGTAATATTGATTTATTGCTTACATAATGTAATAATTGTCATTGTTTGTAAGGAACTTTTTGTTGACTTAGCTCGGCTTACTCGGTAAACGTCAATTAAGCAATTGCAATTTTCGATTATCCTGAGAGAAGCGTGACCACTTACGAACAGCAGTATCGCCAGTCTGGCTGCCTGCGCGCCGACAGGTTTTGTAGGTTTTACGTTATACTGGAGGGACATACGCGGGTGGTCAAATGCCTCGTATAGTACACAAACGTGCCTGATTCCGTTATCAATTTGTTTAATAAATAAAGACGGATTGTATTGTACCGTATTATTTGTTTAACAAACACCTTATCGAAAAAACTTCTACACGGAAAAAGTTAGACTTGCATGTCTAATATAAAAAAAAATCACATTAAATTAACGCAATGAATCACTTATTTATCATGGGAAAACAATACCAATATTATTTCCCTTGTAATAAACTAAAATGTGTATTTATTTTCGATGTTCTAAAACTTGAAACATCGGCTTTATTGTTTTTGTAGACATCAATACGTTGGTAGGTCGCGCTAATACAAATTTATGGGCATGTTCTCATCTTCTGTCAAATGTTTGCATAGAGTACGACAGATAATAAATCAATTTACATTGAGACCTCGTGGTTAACTAGCGGTCATCGCCTCGCACATACTCCTCATTGGTGTATCGCGAATTCGATGGCACAGCACGCCTCGAGCCTTCTGTGGATTTATATAATTCACGCTCTAGAAAGCTCATTCTGTAAGCTCTACTGTCGTGAGTACATTTTGATAGCGATCTGTTTTCCGTCGTTTTATTGATGAATTAACCTAATAGCACAAAACGAATAGTCCCATTTGTCTATGTAATTATTTATATAAAATCTTCATCCATTTATTTATTAAAATATTGTCTACGTTTATCTTATGTATGAATGAATATTCTATAAAATGTGACCTCCTTGAGTAAATTATTTTGAGACACGATATCTTTAAATAACTTGTGAGAAGCAAGTTTATGGACCATTAAAATAGAATTGCGGACCTTTACGATTGCGATTGACGATCATTAAGAGCTGCATATAATTTGTTTATATGTTAGTACTCCTGTGTGTAGCGATTTTATCTGTTTAGTTGTATATATTAACATTATTCACATGATTGATGTATTATTATTTGTATTGCAATTCAGGTAATGCTATGGAATAGAAGTGCTTTCAATTCTTGATTACAGATTTTGTCTGGATATTGTCGTATTGAAAATATTCAATTATTACAAATAGTATTTTACGCGTAATACATCCATCTCTATCCCGTTGACTTTCTCATCTCATTTTTGGCGTGTTTATTTCGTCTCGTTATCATCCGACTGATGTTAAATACTAATAAAAAAAGAAAAGCCGATTTTCACATTCATAACGTTAAACCTAATTAATGGCCATTGGATTTTACATGGTGTTGCCGTGACCGCATTTCCAAACTTTAATTAGAGAATGGCCTGAATTATAATTAATGCTAATTAATTTTTATATTAGGTATTCTTAAAACGCCTTGATTTCATATTGAAGCATGGTAATTCATTGTATTTACTAGTATTTTTATTAGATAATTCTAAAAGGATTGATTACTTATTCAATAGTGTAAATTAGCAAATTACTTGATATTATGTTATAATAAGTATAGCGAGTTGCTCGGTGGCGTAGTCGGTCACGGGATGGGAGACCAAAAAATTATTATCTCGAGCTACTCCTTGCTTCGGAAGGCACGTTAAGCCGTTGGCCCCGGCTGCATTTGCAGTCGTTAATCCGCATTAGGCCAGCGTGGAGGGTCATGGCCCATCCTCCTTAACCATCCATAAGGAAGGCCTGAGCCCCTGCAATGGGGACGTAAAAGGGTTGATGATGATGATGATGATGAAGTATAAGCAGCGAGTCTCAAAAATTTCACTTTTGGAAACTAAAATTGACATGGCATCCTAAAATAAATTAAAACTTAGTTTCATTATACTCTCTTTTTTTCGCCTAATATTATCCCATCTACTTGGGGTAGGTTTACCTAACAGGGCGTCGCCAGGATTTTCTATCCTCGTTCGTCTCGGGTGGTATTTGGGCAGCTTTGAAGTTTTCTTTACGAGCATATGATTAAGGGTTTTCCACGTCCTGTAGGTTTCTCATTCACTCCAATTATTTTTCTCGTCATGTAGTCAGTTGGTCGCCTCAAGACAATGCCGTACTAGCGATTTTTGACTAGCTTCTCTGATATCGGCCTTATAGTTATTCTAGATTCAGTCCAGTAGATTTACACCGCCAACTCACCTGAATATTCTCATCTTTATTCACTAAACACTGTTATCAATAACGAATAAATACATAATTATGTATTTTACTTTAACTCTATAATTTCATGCATACATACTTATGCATGCATGTGCCCAAATATAAGTAATATTTTCATAATCCCCAAAATATGCTTTGTGGAGCACACTTTGAGAAACCCTAGAATAGAACATTTTTCATATACAATGTATGAAAATATTTCTAAATGCATACAATGTATGTCCTAATTAAAATATCACTGTTATGTTAGGCGATGACAAATCTCTTATATTAACGTGGCCAAGAGTCAATGCTCGTAAAACATATTTATAATTATGTTTTATGTATGCAGCAATTCCCAGACGATACGCTACTAGACGACAGCCCAGGTCACGTTCGCTCGCGATCAGCGTTCTATTATAAAGAATAATCGACAAGCATGTCGTCCGTCTGTGGGAATCGTTCACCGCAGGCTAAACCGAGATGTGCGTTTAATTTGCGTCTAACCTACGCTAGCTGGCTGACGCACTGGATAGTATCTGAATACTAACCAGACCAGGCGGAGAATTATTATATAGTGTTTAATTTCCTAATCAGTTTCGGGATTGATATTGTGAATAATATTGTCGCTTTGAACATTTTTAGTGATGTTATTGATAATTAAACACAATAAAACACTGCTCCATCCGCAAAGCTTAAATTTGAACATTATTCCAACTCAAGTTGATTCGAACAATCTCTTTGCAATATGCACTTAGCTAGGCTACCGGTACGACAGATCAATTTAATTTCATAGCAGTAAATTATAGAAAGGAAAAGTAGTAAAATGTTGGTGTGGCGTTTTATTGAACAATAAACCCCGTTCCTACGGCATTGCCCTGCAAGTTTCCTCGACAGTTTTTTGTAGAAGGCATAGGTTTTAACTTTAAAATATACATCGTCTCATTATAAAACGAGGACTAAAGTAAGTGCTTAGTTGCTGCCTAAAGCAAACGGCCAATGACAGAAAAGAAAACGTCAAATTGAGACGTGTTGACTTATTTTGGTCGAATAATGGTTTAAACCTGGTACTAAAGTTAGTCTTCGTTTTATAATAAAACTGACCAAGATGATAAGAGTCAAAAGTTCTATATTCTATGGGTGTGCCACTTAAGTATCCTTTAAAACGTAAAGAAATGTGTAAGAAACAAGTAGGACACTGCCGTATGTTTGTGTGTACAAAATAAAATTTCACTGCCAGAATTCTTTACATGAACTTTCTTGTTATCTACTAAGCGTAATGATGTGATTTTTGGGTCATAAGAGTCGTTCTTGAACATTAGTCAATATCAAGTAATAAGTAAGTTGTAATGTTTAATAAATAGTTTTAGCAGTTGTAGATAGATTCAGGGACATAAACACAGGATATAAAAGGCGTAGTGAGCGTTCACCTCGGCAAACTCATTCTAGCAATACCCATTATTTTCACAAATTACTTCTCTCGGAGAAATGTCTGTTTGATTGGCACACAATATGTTTATTTTGATTAGGCACGTAAACTTGGCATCTGGAATGCATTTTATAATTATTAGCTCTCCAAAGTAGTTAGTGTATGTAATACTAGTTCCTTACTTAGGAGAAGGCATTCGTCGGTGATTTTTAATCGGTTTCTAAATCGAAAAGGAGAAAGTTCTATTTTCGAAGGGATCTCTATATTTTGTATGTTCACTGATATTCTCTAAATTTATTTGTTCTTATTTTATTTAAAAACTTATGGACCATAGGTCATCCAATAATTTTACCATATGAAATCATTAGACGACATATTTATATCATCTAAGAAAACGACTTCAAAAACGAGAATTGTCTTCAAAAAAATCTTTAAATACGAATGTAACTAGCAAAAAGCATCTTTGTATGAAACTGTTTTCAGTGAAGAAAGAAGTATTACCATTATTATCGATAACTTAGTTTCGGTACTGAAAAATAAGTCACGAATTGCACAAAAACTAAACTTTACATCGTAGTAAACTTAGATATTCTGACTTTGAGTCTTAAAATCGCAATTATCTTATTA